TGCTGGAGGGGATGTGGACAGAAGGGAACCTTACTGCATTGTTGTTGGGAGTGTAAACTTGTTCAACCACTTTGGAAAGCAGTATGGAGGTTCCTGAAAAGACTTCACATAGAGCTCCCTTATGGCCCAGCAATCCCACTTTTGGGCATTTACCCAAATGATCACAAACAAGACCATACTAAAGCGACCAGCACAACTATGTTTATTGCAACATTATTTACCATAGCTAAGATATGGAACCAATCCAGATGCCCCTCAGGAAATGTGGTATATATACACAATGGAATTCTATACCTCCATCAGAAAGAATGACATTGCCGCATTTGTTAGGAAATGGAAAGACTTGGAAAGTGAAGTAAGCCAGGCCCAAAGAAACATAGGTCCCATGGTTTCCCTTATTTGCAATAACTAGTATATGTCCGAGTCAAGCAGAATGGTCAGATAAGTTGATGTTAGGGAAATGAACTCCAAGATAAGTATTCAAATATTTTTTCTTTCTTGTGGTTGTTTCTAATATATGTATAAGATATTTTTTGTGGCTTTGTATGTCCCTCCCCCACGGTATAACTCGTTTTCACTGTATTTGATGTTCGTATAAGTTGTGGAGGGGAAGGGAAAAAAGAAATTGTTTAAATAGGGATATAGGTGGACCTATTGCAACAATGAGATGTACAAGTTATTATGTCGAAAAATGGACTTTACAACTTTGCTGTGGGGGGGGGGTGAAGGGGAGGATGAAAGGGAGGGATGGGAAGGGGAAACAAAGGAGGAGACAACAATGCTTGATAAGAAATGCACTCATTACCTTGCTCATGTAATTGTAACCCCTCTGTATGGTATTTTCACAATTAAAAAAAAGACTTTTGTAAATCCTGCCTTTTCCTGACACACAATTAACTAATAGTTTTATTTTGGCTTTAGTTAAATTTTAGAACTCAAAACCATTTCATGACATGTTGTCTCGTACCTATAATCACACTCTGATCTTCACATAACTAGAAAATGCTGGTAGTGAAGCTGTGGCTCAGGTGATAGAGAGCCAATAAAAGCTGAGAGTGTAAGGCTCTGAGCATAAGCCTCATAATCAACACAAAGTGAATAAAGTAAGTTTCCAGGTACCAGAAGTCAGAGGTTAGGGCTGCATTTTCTTATAGCATCCAAACAGAATAATTAATTGTAGTCCTTCCATTTCACCTATCATGAGCATGGAGATAGTGAAGTTTCCCTTCATTGTAAATGTCTCTGGAACTTATTTTGCATGTGTGATAAAGGATGGAATTGTACTCACCTCTTCCAGCCAGAAAGATGTCATTTTATTTTTCTTTTAAAAGTGTCCCTTTGGTAAAACGCATGATTTTAAAACACTGCAATGATTTTATGTCTCATAACTGCTTCAACTTAAAGGGATACTTTTTATTTTGTTGTCAGATGCATTCATATTTAACATTTACAGACAGGATCTGGTAATCCTGAATGCTAAAAGACTACATAAAATTTTTACAAAGCTTATTCCTTAAGGTAGCTCAGTGGTTGAGTGCTTGCCTTGAATGCATGAGGCCCTGGGTCCGATTCCTCAGCACCACATAACCAAAAAAAGCTGCAAGTGGCACTATGGCTCAAGTGGTAGAGCCCTAGCTTTGAGCTGAAGAGCTGAGGGACAGCACCAAGCACCAGATTTTAAGCCTCACGAGCAAAAAAAAAAAAAACTGTAGTAGGGAAATAACTGATTTTTACTTCAAAGTGAACATAGCACAATTTTATTCAGTTATATTTTAACAACGATTCTTGTTGAAAAATTTGTAATTGAAAGTTTCCCAGTAGTTCCCAAATGTGAAGACCTGCTTCTTGTTAAGAATCAGGTGAATGATGAGAAAGGGGTAACATGGATCAAAATGTAGTGTACTCATAAACTGACATGTTGAATGGAAAACTCACCTACTTAAAGGCAATAATAATGATGATGATAAGTCAGCCTCAACAAAAGTTAACATTTTCTGAAGATAAGACATTTCGGTGAAAGAAATCCTGTCAGTAGTCATGAAGATAAAAAGACTAAGTTTGTAGGAAGGAATCTGATCTTTGGAGACTCTGGTAGATCAGGAGAAGTCACGTGGGATTCCCTGTGTATGCAATCAATCTCATTAATTGACCTTTTATTTCCGACATCATGAATATAAATATAGGGACCAGTCATACACATAAGAGCAAAGGACCACAAATATCAGTACCACAGAACACAATGAGATCACAAATATACTGTCACTTGGATAACGTGGACACTTGTTGCTAGTCTGGTTATTCAGAAAATACCAATTATCCAGTTTACTTTGTAAAGACTTTCAGAGTTCTGACTCGTTCATTGCTTGGATTATGCAACTGACTGAAAAATACTCATTGTGTTAGCTCACCAAATTTACTTTAGTTTTTAGAGATTTAGGAGAAAACAAAACAAAACCAAAAAAAAATCCAGTAGCTGAGTTCTTTTTTTTTTAACTCAAGCACAAAACTAAAAATAATTTACTAAGGAAAACATTTTTAAATGGTCAACATGTAATGCAAGACACATCTCTAGTGCCACTAAGATCTTTGCGTGCTTTGGCAATGCATACACTGCCAATGGGAAGGGGTAACAGAACTTTACATAGAAACCACTGAGACTCTTTACAAGCTACACACCTCACACATAAGCCATGAGTATCCACATTTTGAATGTACATATTGCATGACATCTTTTATAAGTAAATGAGGAATGAAATAGATTTTTTTTATCAGGGGCTGGCTCAGTGGTAGAGTGCTTGCCTTGCATGCATGAGGCACTGAGCTCTATTCCTCAGCACCACATAAGCAGAAAAAGCTGGAAGTGGTATTGTGGCTCTAGTGGTAGAGTGTTAGCCTTGAGCTGAAGAGCTGAGGGACAGCGCCCAGGCCCAGAGTTCAGGCCCCATGACCTGAACCCCCCACAAAAAAAAGTTGATTCATTGCTCAAACTGATGAGATTTTTTTTCTTTCCTGATACACATGCTATATACAAAGTCTGGCTAGATGTATGGTGGTCAAATATTGGGATACATGAAATCTTAAATTTGCCATCTCTTGATAATACAGAAAAACATACATAAACTTCAAAAAAGAGAAGACAATGGTACAAAAGGATCCACAGGGCTTATCAGATCATGCTAATTTTTGTAGGCAAAAGAAAAATCTTTATTAAATTGTGTTGGTTTCGATACTGGGTTATTACACTATAGGTTAGCTAGTGCTATTAGTTGAGAATGGCTCCTCACTTACGACATTGAAATGACTTACCCTACATATTAGTGCTGCTTTATACAGTGTTTAATCTGCATTATTTGATCCTTACATTTCAAAGAAAACTGTGACACTATGTATATGTGCAACTAAATATTGACACTAATATGTTACATATTATTCACCATTGATCAAACCCTCTTAGTTTTCATAAGGCTGCCTTAGAAGAAATCTTTTTATACATGGAAAGTAAGTACATCTGAAAGTCAATGACATGTCACTATATATTGATATATGTTTTGTGAAATCATTAACATAAAGTATTAAAGCTTTCCTTTTAAGGTACATTGTTTCTATGAATACAATAAAGCAGGTAACAAGGAATCACCTTCCAACCTCAGTTTCCAATTGCTTACTGACACATTCAAAATCAGGCAATGTCCAAGTCATTTCCATTTTTCCCTCTATTGCACATTAGTCAATAATTCTCTAGCGTAATATAAATCTAGAGGATATTATGGAATTTTCAACTTTAAGAGTTTCCATGGGCTTTTCTAGTTTTCCTACAGGAGTTACATTATTTCAAGCCATATCTAAAATAGGAAAAAAATTAAAACATCCATATGTTTAATTGTGAAGAACAAAATCATCTGGTATAAAATAAAGATGAGTGTCAACTCAAATCCAACTGTTATAGTTCAAGCGGTGGCATCTTTTGTAGACATCTCTGGGGGTGGGGTTTGGGGATGGGGAATGCTTTCTGGGAACAGACTAACTTGGTTACCCAGGATCATTTTTTGCCTTCAAAGCAAAGTCCAATAAACTTGGGATAAAATAAAAACTCTGTTAAGAATGGGTTGTTTGGTTATCTTTTTTTTTTATATATATAATGCTTATGCAAAGGGGTAAGCCAAAAAGAGTCTTCCTGACCACACTTAAAAATTGATTCAAAGAATAACTGAGGATAAATTTCAGTGTTATTTATAAAAAAAATACTTTCACAGAAGTGAAGGAAATACACCTTTGTACAATGATGCTTACCATGGTAGAAATACCTATTGTCAATAAAATGTTAGCACGAGATTTAAAAATGACTATTACAGCACCACATCAGAGAACTATGTTAACAGCAAAATGATCTACTATTATTTTCCATGTAAGTCTTTTCCTAGAAATAAATGGGGAAGTGCTTTTTCCTAACCCTAATTCCTACTAAAACATTTCCTGATGTGGAGCAAAAAAGACATTAAAAATGACAGATTAAAAAAAAAAAGAAGACATTCATGCATTTAAGCAACCATTAGTCTCTGACTGCAATATAAGGCAGAACATTAATCATTTGCACAATTACGACTTTAGCCTCTTAAACTCTTTTATTTTAGTGCTTTTCATGACAAGGACATGATAGGCCTTGTAAATTTAGCCATTGAGATGTGTCTGCCATACATTAACTTAGACAGACTAGGCTGTTTTTACTTATTTTTTTTTCAACACCGATTTTACAACAGAAAAATAAATGCATCCTGTTGGAGAAATGATGATAAAAAGTAAACAGAGAGGGTCTTATAAGAGTTGGTCACAAATGATGCCATTTGGAGAGTTGCAACCCAATCACGTGTGCTTATGTGTCATCCTCAGTCTTAATGATGTGGAAAAGAGTGACATTGAAGAGGACTTGGTGACCATTGTTCCAGGCGTAAAGAGCTCGATCTCTGGCATTGTAGTCAAGCATAGATATGTGAAAGTACTGGTTGTGGAAAGGGATGTCTGTGTACTCATACGTGGAGGTTTTGGTGGAGTAGGAGTAATACACCTTAGCTCCGGTCAGGTGGGAGTTGGTGACATAGAGTGTGCCACAGATCATGAACGATTCCCCCGCGCTTCTCTTGGGATAGCCGGTGCTCCAGCTCTTCATCACCTCTAGGGTATCTTGGTTAAGTTGGCTGATGACAATATTGCCTGCATTCTGGTTAGTTGCGTAGACGGCCCAGAGCCCAATTTCATCAGCCATTAGGTCAATGTCTGAGAACCCACCCCACGTGTAGGGGTAAACGTTGTGGAAACCGGCATACTCCAAGCTCCGTTGGGCCAGCACCCTCCCCAAGTCAAAGTTGTATTTAATGACGATGTTACTCTGGTATTTGTTAAAATAGAGCGAGCCGTTGTACACAACGTGGTTAGTTCCTGCCCACTTGAAAGGGAGATTGTAAGTCCTGGATTCCGCTCCACTGACGAAGTCTGCCATTGACTTGTACTCACGGACGATTTTATTGTTAGTGTAGCTATCCATGTACCAGACCTGAGGAGAAGGAGAAGGAAAGCAAAGGGACTTGAAGACATCGTGTACTTCTTTGAGAATTCAAAAAGTAAAGGTAGTGAGAGTCAGGCACATTAATATCACAAACAGCTTTCAAAGCCAAATTACCCTGCTGTTTAACTGCTGCCCAGAAATGTGAAGTTATTGTGGGATTTTGTAAAAAAAATAATATTAGCATGGTCTATGTGGAAAAGAAACAACTGAATTTATTGCCTTGAATTCGGCCTTCTGTTTCCTTTTGGGTTTTTTTTTTGAGAGTTTTGGTAATTATTTTTTATTAGTGTGTTTGTGTATACATATGTCTCTATATGTATATATATATATTCCAAAGTAAAGCATACTATCTGACTTATGATGGAATAAGATATCAGTGATAGTGAAAATTGTAATTCATTTATTTATTTTGGTGCCGGTTCTGGGGCTTGAACTCAGGGCCTGAGCACTTTCCTCAAGTTTTTGTGCTCAAGGTAAGTGCTCTACCACTTCAATCATAGCTCCACTTCCAGTTTTTTTGATGTTTCATTGGAGATAAAAATCTTAGACATCCTGCTTTGGCTGGCTTTGAACTGTGATCCTTAGATCACAGCCTCCTGAGTCACTAGGAGTATTGGAATGAACCACTGGCACTGGCTTGAAAATTGTTTTATTCTCTCCTTTACTTTGAAAAATGCCTGGTTGAATTTTACCTGTTCTACTTTATGCATATCACAAAACCTTCAAGCAACATTTATGCTATGAAGCAGCTACAGATACAACCTTTTAATGAAAGTATTTTACTAATTTAGTAACTAATCTCATTTGGTTGAAACCATTAATTGATACTAAGTTGTGTACTAAATGGAGATATGTTGAATTTCTAATGTATTCGATTAAACTCTGGAGGTATTACTAACACTTGAAAACATCTTCTCAAAGTTTCCGTTATTTCTTTTAAAAGCAATTTCTAGATCCCCAGGATATATTAATTTATTTAGTCAATTAGTTAGTTCCTGACATTTTCATCATTTTGTGTTATTTTTCCATACTAAAGACCATGATTCATTAAAAATATATAGTAAATTTTATGTGCTTTTCGCTGGCACTTTTCAAACAAATAACAGGTTCAACTCAATAAAAAATAGAATATACAATGAAACATTTTACTAACTGTTGGTTGCTATATACTTTTTGAAATGCTAGTATTATCAAATAGGAGATACATGCAAATTGTGTGACACTTTCAAATTAGAACTAATATATCGGAAGAGAATGAATAGTCAGGAGAAAAAAAAGGTGTAAATAAAACATAATTTTAAGTCTAAGTATTTGTAGAATCAACATACTCTGTTATTTTTTTCAGATGCTAAAGGATCCGTCATCCAAGCACCAAATCGAGTTCCAGAGGTCTTGACTGTAATGGGGCCTGTGATTTTCATCAATTTGCCACATGCTGAAACAAGAGGAAGATAAATATGTTGGATGAACAGAGCAATGATTCCAACACATACACTCATGTCAAGAATAAAGTATGGCATGGAAAGACAGATTAAATCCCTGGATTTATGTTGCATATTCTGTATGGCTGAGCTTTTATATTCACACATTTCAGCGCCCTTGGAACCATCACTTGCTTTTTCAATCTGTAGTTCTAAAGTGTGTGTGATTTTTAATGGGGAAATGACTGGTATAATCTGTAAAGAAACGAATGAGGAAAGTCATCATCATTATACTAATTTAACAGCTGCTTCATCCAAAGTAAAGAAATCAAAATATTATATAATTGTCCAGGAGCTTTCTATTTTTTTTTCCCTTCACCTTGTGACCGTAGATAATTTACATATGCCAGAACTCTAAAAGCTTTCAAATTTTCAAATTGTATCAGAATACAAAATATAGAATGAGAAGTTCCTGTGAAAAATATCTTTTATGTATAAATAAATATAGCATGTACGAATGTGTATAATACAATAAAATAACTGTTTACCTGTAAAAGGTATATAACACGACCTGGCAATGCAGTAGTTAATATATAAAGACAAACTTTCAAAATCTCAACACATTTTCATTTTTACAACATATTACATGATCATATTTACATTTATGACTACAAAGCCATATGATGTAAAATACATTGAACTGCAACACATAATAAAAATGGATGTTTTAATTATATTTTTATCACCTTTATTGTGCACAAAGAATAGAAAGGAAATCATAAATAGCAAAAAGCCTAAGATAAACCTATTTTGTATGAGATTTTCAGATAGCAAAGTTTAAAAGTGATTTAGCTATTCATGTTGTTAATGATAATCTGATTGTTTAAAAATGATGATCTTTGGTCTAAACAAAATAATACTCATTCCTGTTTAGTTAGTCTATTTTTTCATTTTATTTTTTTCTTTGCTTTGCTTTTCCTTTTTTAGGGTCCTACTTGTTCCATGCTTTTTCTGTCCTGCTCTGCCTTTTCTTAGACTGGCAAATGTCTGTTTAATTCTTATTATATTTGGAATTCTCTTGTATTTGGAAGACAAAGAACACTAAAGAAAAAAAGGAAAGACAAAGTAAGATTAGCTTTGAGATTATTTTGATTACTATTTGTAGATGTTTCTCAGAGCAATATTCATGGTCAGCAGGATACTAAACCATATGGTTAGTAAGGTGTTGTGTGCTTTCTGAAGAAATTGCTTGAGAACTAGCCAGGACAAGGGTTCATCCCTGTTCCCTTCTATTTGGGAGGTGGAGACAGAGATGAGGAGGTTAATGATTGGGGTCCATCGTTAGTCTAAACTAATAGCTGGACAGGACAGAGTGGTACACACCTGTCAGCCCAGCTATTTAGGAAGCACACATAGTAGACACCTATCCTTCTATTTATGTGTAAAAAGTAAATGAGACCTTTTGTGTCCCAGAATGACCATTATTCTGTGGACCTTGAGAACATGTGCTCCAGAACAGACAGATGACTCCAAAAAGGATGTCTTAACACAATTTCATGAAGATGTAAATGAATGCAGCCTTTATAAAATCCAATGTGGAAGTGCCTCATAAAATTCAGAGTAGGGCTGCCATTTTATCCATCCATCCCATTACTGGTGATAGATCCACAGGAGATGAGATCCAAATGCTGAAGAGACCTCTACATTCCTCTGTTCACTGCAGTGTTATTCTTGATACACAAGAAATAGAAACAGTCCAAGTTTTGATCAACAAAAAGTAAATGAGAAAATACAGCAATATAATGGAAAGCTATAGAGCTAACAATATTGAATCATGACATTTAGGAGGACCTGGATAGAACAGGAGATCATTATGTGGAGTGAAATAAGCCAGACACAGAAAGATAGGAGCCAAGTTATTTCATTTAGATCGAATCTAAACTAGTTGATTGTAGAGAGGTTCAGGGTAAAATAGTGGTTATGAAAGGTTGGGGAAAAGAGAGAAAGGAATATTGGGAATGGGACAGATAGTAGTAACTTAGAGTTAGCAGGCACCAGATGCTCTTGTGTGCTATTAACCAGGACAGTGACTATAGATAACCAGAATTTACAATTTAATTGACTAAAAGCAAAAATTTTGAAAATTTCCTCGTGAAGAAATAATAAATGTTTGAAAAGATACACATGTTTAATCTGATTTAAACATTGCATAATGTAAACCTGCATAGAATTATCATGTAACACTATGCACAATGTTTTCACATGCATGCAAGCCAATAGAAATCTTTTTTTTTCTTTACCAGTCCTGAGGTTTGAACTCAGACAGAGTCTGCAGTCCTTTTTGCTCAAGGCTAGTAATCTACCACTTGAGCCAAACCTCCATTTCCAGCTTTGTGATAAGTGATTAGATTTAGGAGTCTTACAGACTCCTGCCTGGTCTGAGTTTGAATCATGATTCTCAGATCTCAGCTTCCTGAGTAACTAAGGTTCTGGTGTAAGCCACCAGTGCCTAGAAATAAATCCAATTTTTAAAAGAGAGTGGACTATTGAAGTCTTATTTGCAATATCTAGTATATGTCTGAGTCAAGCAGAAAAGGTCAGATAAGGTGATGTTAGGGAAATGAACCCTAAGATGTGTATTCAAATGTTTTTTTTCTTTCATGCATTTGTTTCTAACTCATTTATAAGATTATTTCTTTGTTGCTTTGTATGTCCCTCCCCCACAGTATAACCCCTGTGTTCACTGTATTTGATGTCAGTATAATTTTTTGAGGGGAAGGGGAAAAACAAGTCGTTTCAATAAGGATAAAGGTGGACCTGTTGCAACAATGAGAAGTACAAGTCCTTATGTAGAAAACGAACTTTACAACTTTGGTGGGGGGGCAGGGAGGATTTTGGGGGGGAGGTGAGGGACGGATGGGAAGGAATGGGAAGGGGAAACAAAGGAGGAGGCTACAATGCTTTATAAGAAATGTACTCATTATCTTGCCCATGTAATTGTAACCCCTCTGTACAGTATTTTCACAATAAAAAATAAATAAAAATTAAATAAAAAGAGTAGACTATTGGAGTGGAATTGCTAGATCATAGGGGAGCTCTATGTTTATTTAGTCTTTGAAGAATCTCCATACTGCTTTCCAGAGTGGTTCCCACCAACGGTTCCCTTTTGGCCACATACCACCCAGCATTGGTTATTGTTGTTTTCTTGATAATGGCCATTCTAATTGGTCTGAGGTGGTGGGATCTCAATGTTGTTTTGATTTATTTCTTTTATGACCAGAAAAGTTGAACATTTATGTGTCTGCTGACTATTCTTACTTTTTCTTCTGAGAAGTCTCTCTTGAAGTTGTTAGTCCATTTATTAATTGTGTTGCTGTTTCTTAGAGGGCTTATTTTTGTACCTCTTTGGGAGCGCAAGGAGGGGCACAGAAATGGAAGGTCAAAGGGTGAACAAATGCAGCAATGATAATCTAGATACTATGCTGCAAATGAGCTATACAACTTGTGAAGGGGGGTGGGAGGAAAAACTGGGAGAAAGTGAGGGAAGGAGTGACACTGGTCAAAAACAAATATACTTAATACCTGATCTATGTAACTGCAACTTCCCATACATCACCTTACACTCTCTCTCTCTCTCTCTCTCTCTCTATATATATATATATATATACATATATGTAAAATATAGATAGATAGATGGATAGATAGATAGACAGACAGATAGATATTGTCAGTTGTGAGGCTTAGACTCTAAGCTTGGTGATGTCCCTGAACTCTTCAGCTCAAGGCTAGCTCTCTACCACTTGACAGCCCCACTTCTGGTTTTCTGGTGATTTATTGGAGATAAAAATCTCATAGACTTTTCTGTCTGGGCTGGCTTGCAACCGTGATCCTCAGATCTCAGCCTCCTGAGTAGCTAGAATTATAGACATGAGTCACCAGCGTTTGGTTAATAACAATCAATTGTTTTAAAGATGGAAGTAGAGCTATAGCTCAGGTGGTATAGCACTAGCCTTGAGCACAAAAGCTCAGGAGCAGCATTCAGGTCCTGAAACCAAGCCCCCAGAACTGGGACAAATAAAGACTATGACATTAAGCTGGAAAAGCAAGGAAACAAGCCTAAAAAAGAGAGTGTGGAATTGTTCTGCAGAGATACTAAGACCCTCTAGGAAAAGCTGGACATGCTGAAGGCAATTATTGATGTATATAACAGACTTTATTTAGCCTAACTCTCCTTATGTATATCCTTTGATTCAGACTGATATTATAATACTGAATTTAGAGAGGAAGGGACAATGTCTGAGTTCATCATTCAGCTTCAAAGGAACAAAAAAAGCATCATTGTAGCACTGTAAGCATGTGTGTTTAACTTGCACCATCAGCTTATAAGCTGACTGTAGAACATCTGACAGATCTTTCTTCTGCTCTGTGAACATAGAAAAGACAAAATGTTTCCAATGATAGAAGACAGATAAAAATTGCATTGTTAAGAAAATAAAATTGTGACAAGAGATGGAAATGTAAAAGTCTGTCGACATATTTTGTTAAAATATGGTAAAAGATTTTTCCTGTACTTGATGACAAAATAATGGAGAAAAAATAAGACCTATATTCACAAAATTGATATTGGTTAGACTATGAATTGTCATAAAAATCATGTTGAGAAAAGACAGGAAAGAAAGTAAGGCTGCAAATCTTTCTCTTGTAGGGCAGGAAGTTAATAAATAAGATATATAAAATTGCTAAAAACTGTAGAAAAGTAAACATTATTGGAAATATATATCTAAAATTAAAGGATTAAATGTGGTTAGCTTTGGGAAGCAAATCGGAAGAAGATGACTCTTAATTTCCATTCCAAGCTTTTTATTTTAGTTGAAGCCTACAATTTTCTATCCATGTGAATACACTATTTAAGTTATAATTTAAAAGATTAAAATAGCTGCACAAACTTCATAGCTGTTAAACCTAAAAAGTAAAATAAAAATCACTCATATATTGACTGTTGAAAAATATTTTC